GTGTCACTGGACTTCTAACTCTTTTGCATTCAGGCTATTGCTAAATCCTTTCACTTCCTATACAGAATTCTGTCTTGACGAACCTATCCATTGTCCATACCTTGATAATCCTCCTGTCTGGACTACTCTAGCTGCCTCTTCTCTGGCCTTTCCTAGTATCCATCTAAACATCCTCCAGTCTAGTCACTAGAAAAGATCTCCCATTGCATACTACCACAAAGCAACTTAACCCAGTTCCTGCTTACTACTTTGACCTGGGACTATCTCTCTACTGGCAACCTCTGTTTTCCTAAAACTTTTAACTCCTTTCACTGTTGCTACTTCATCTTGAACTGTTAATCTGTTGTATTTACAGTATCAAGTGCTTGTTTGAAATAAACCAGTTATGTCCATTGTTTCATTATTAAACACCGTGTAGGGAATGTACTCCAGTTGACCAAATTTACTAACTTTCTCCCACAAATCCATGCTGGCACTTCTCCTTAATTTTGCATTGAAAAGCATGTTTGGAGAGGTCCCAGTGCATGACAGCAGAGACCTGGTGGTTTGGATGTGTCTCTAATTTTCTGCTAGAGGACAAGAGTCAAAGGAGCAGTAAAGAATTATTGGTACAATTCTAAAATTCACATGTAGGAATCCATCATGCATCTTGTTGCCCCTCTAGAGTCTTCCACTCAAGACCTGTTTACACTGGAAAACTGTGTTGTCAGCAATAGCCCCCTGTACTCCTGTTAAATTGCTCATCTGCTAGTGAAGATGGGACAAAACTGTCTTGAGCACTGTTACAGAAATCATGGTTAAGAGATGAGTTCTGCACTAGTGTTAAACTGTTCTATTTCCGCTAGCAGTTCAGGGGCACCAGATACTGAAAACCATTGTCAGCAACTGGTATGTTTCCTGGTTCAGAGGGGTGATTAACTGGAGAAACATCTTCTCTACAGCTTCTGTAAACTAAAAACAACTTCAGCTATTTCCCCCTAGGAGCCTATTTTCTCCTTTTATTTTTCATTGCTGCCCTCTTAATTTGTTCACTTCAGACATATGCCAGGCATCTTGTAACTTGTTACTGTAAAGCATTTGAGGATACAATTTGCATGAAATATACTTCTCCTGTTGGAGCTATGGCAGAACTGCCCTTTCCCTGTGAATAGCAGGGGAAAAGCATGAATAAAAGCCGTGTGTTCATAAAACTTGGAGCAGTGGGGAACTGGCGTAGTGCATTATTGCTAATATAAAGTAGGTGCCCTTTCTCCTCTTTAGTTCCAGCTTCTACCCATCATAGCAACTGTTATCAGTATTAGGTGGGCCCAGGTCCTGAAGCCAGCACAAGCCTCTGATAAATTCATGATGTTGATTGCTGAACTTGAGTCTCCAAGGTTAAGTGAACTATTGTTAATAGTTTAACTGGCTAAGCTGGGTTCTAATTGCCCAGTTTGAAAGTTATGAAAGTCTTAGAAAATTCAATAAAGTGAGTCAAAAAATCTTTAAAATGTAGGCATAAGTGATATGACTTGGAGAACGTGTTGGGCTATAATGAAATTTAACAATTAATGCTTATTTTTCTTCATTACAGACTCAGAATAGAACAACACTTGAAAAAACAAGCAAGGATGAAAAGCTTAGAAAAAAAGAAACAGCTCCTTTTACAAAAGAAATTCCCTCACCTTGCTGCACAATCACAGAATTAATATCAAGCTGGAAGCGTGATGCAAGTTATAGTTTTATTGCAGTAGTCTTAAGATGCTACATGTGACTGGCATGTAGTGTGAACATATTTTCAGTGGGCAGCAGATAAAGAACAGGGCTGCCTGTGAGGGTTTTTTGTTCTTTGATCTTTCTTTTTCCCTGCCCAAATAAAGCTCCTCAACCCTAAAAATAAAATTCATATCTGGGTTGAGAGATCTTCAGAGCAAAACAATGAAAATTTGTACTGAGTCATTTAACTGATTGATAAAATATTACTTTTCCAGAAACCAGGTGCTGAAAATTAATGTTTTAATATTACATGTCATTTACTATAAAGCTGAATTGTATATGCTTAACGGTAAAAAAGCATCTGCAAGACAGAGATTGCAATCAAGGCAGTTGTAGACATGTGTCTGCTTTAGCTTTTAATAAAGAGGTCTTCTCTCCCTTTTTTTTCACTTAACACTTAGCGTAGCACATTATACAAGCTATAGCAGCTGTCCAATGCACTGGACTGCTCTATTTAAGTACAACAAAATAACAAATGCATTAGGCAGCAAATTACACCAGCAAACTGACCGCCTAGTTGTAAAATCAAGTAGGTAAGGGAAAGGAATAGAAACTTCAAGAGCAACATCTCTACAGAAAGCAATGGTAAATTAGATAGGGCACATCTCAGTCAAATTAATTTTAAATCGGGCTTGATAGCTGTGTCCAGGTTTTCTTAGTAAGAAGGGAGTAGCTTGAAGATAGCACAGGCTAAATTCCTGTTATCTTTGGTAGATTCAGTGGAAATGTTCACATTTTCTAACATAGCCCTATACTTATTTTTGTAAGTCACTGGCTCTTTGCTTTATCACATTAGAGCCTGCAGCTTAATTATGCTCCTGGCAGGGGAAAGCTTTCAAATATTCTTCAGAAATAAATATTTGCATTATTAGTAGCACAACACTTGACACCTAAGTAACAAGTTAAGGACAACTTTGCTATTTGCAATTAAAGTTTAGGTAGTTTCATGTATGATGTATACTAAGATGTACATAGCAGCACCCAGCTCTTCCCTATTAATAAAGATATTTGTTAGCTGTCAATTGATAATTAATTGAATGCAACTGGTGCTGGGATCTACTATGGAGACTTAATCAACGGGACAACTGAATTCTATAATTCTGCAGCATTGAAAATGTGTATGTAACTTGAGCTGCCTAAAAGCTATATCTGTACAGAAGGCAATTATTCCATTACAAAACCATTCAATGCACTTGTAGAACACTTTTGGTCTTCCAGAATGTTTAGTCAAGAAATAAATTAAAAATTAAGAATACAGTTAGCAGTAATTGTTTGAAAGAAGTAGCTTTGAAGGAAAGGACAGATGTGGCTAGATTCAACCATGCTATATGCAGCGACAACCACTTTGGATTCAATTAATTGTCCTAGTCAATGCAGAAGAGAATTTTTTCCTGTCTCTAAGTGAAACTCTACTTTTACCTAGATAGAGTAGGTAAGACATAAGCGCTTACTCATCTTTAGTACTCTATTTCATAGTGAACAGGAGTTGAGTTGCATACCAATAACCACTCATTGAATTTTTTACAAAATTAAAGTAAAATCACTGTTTACAAACATAACCTTCCACAAAACTAGCTACATTTAACACTACCACCTACAAAAGTAATCAAATAGGACAAGCTGTGATGGAATTAAATACCTGAGAAAATATTAGCCTTCCTAAATATTCCCCTGCAGCATAAAGGGTAAACAGCAAAAAATGTGGGGAGGGATTTGTTTTTAAGTAGATGAAATTGTTTTTGCTCTGGGAAAGGCACTAGTTAACTGTCACAGATGAGTGATTTTTTTTAGTCATAATATAATTTTTTTTTTTGTCCTTAGAAGAAAGTATACAGTGTGCTTTCCCTCACTCTATAATTGATAGAGAGGTATAAATTATTCCATTATTTATACACATAACAAACAGGCTCTGGCATTCTGCATCATCGTGTTTTCCTTCTTAAGTTTAGGGAGTAATAATAAAAGTCAACTTTATTTTCTCCTTGCCCTGTTGCCAACATATATTCGATACATCCTGACATTTCACTAATGGCACTTGAATGTGGTTGTACAGTTATAAGAGTCTTGTTTATTTTCACCATTTAAGTTTCTCCTAATCAATTTATTTGTCTTACCCTGACTGCCAGAATGATCACCCCTCTCTGTATGCCATACTGCAGTTGCAGTCAGAGGCCCTTGAGTTGGATCCTGCCTTGTTTTGAGAGGGGCCGGTGCTAGCAGCCGACAGCCCTGAGAATCTGGAACTTGGTCTCTCCTTTGATCCAAAATAGCCCAAACTGATGACCATCAAGGCATGCTGTTAAAGTCATTTAGTTGATGAGGCATGTAGAGAGGTTAAGGGGTCTACACCTGGGAGATGAAGGAGCATTTCAATTTTAAGTTATTGGCTAGCTGTGTTCATTTATTTCCTGTATGACTATTTTATGATATTGGTTTATCATTATTAGATTGTAAACCTAATTGTTAGGGTGTCAAGAGCTTTCATGTGGCCATTTTTAATTGTTTAAAGCAGTGGTCTCCAAACTTTTTTGATCGTGCACCCCATCAGTAAAAAATTTTTGAGCACGCACCCTCTGCTCCCAGCCAAACCGTCGAAGCAACAACAACAAAAAAAGCCATTCGGACTCCTGACCGAACTGCTGGGGGGGGGGGGGGGGGGGGGAAGCAGCGCTGCTCCTGCTGCACACCCGAAGGATCCTCTTGCATACCCCCTGGGGTGCACGCATCCCACTTTGGAGACCACTGGTTTAAAGAACAAATGGGCACAGTGCTTTTCTAACGGGAATTTTAAAATTCAGAACCAAAACTTCATTATGGCAGGGGTGGAATCTAAATACAGAACAGAGCCACGTGGTCTTGAGTTGTAAACCAAGCTTGGACACAAAATTTCCTTTGTGGCTTTAGGCAGTCACTGTTCTCTGCCTCAGGTTCCCAATCTCTAAAATGAGGACGCTACTAACCTAGATCACACACGTTGTCCAAGCTAAGTGCATTCTCATACCTCTGAAGGTGGAAAGTACAGTATATGCCAAATATTCACTGAAATGAACTCACTTCTATTCATAATAGTTTTAGAACCAAATTTATACATAGCCTATATTCTGGGCCTTAACTACTTCATAGTACACCATGAAAGAGGAGAATATCAAGAGAACATTTTCCACTACAAGGCTAGTGCTATTGCAGCAGCTTCACAATTTAGGTTGAAATGGGCTGCCTAAGATAGATAGAAGTATAAAAAATAGTTTTCCATCTGGATTGTTTATTAATTACAGAAGAGTATGAATACTTGCTGAAAAACAGTGTTGCTCAAAATGTGAAAACAGGACCATTTTATTTTTTTTAAAAGACAAATTAGAGTAATTTGTTAAGGACAGCATATCAACAGGGAAGACTAATCTGTAAAAGTAGACAATATTTTTTTAATAAATTTGATGCAAGGGCATTTCAAAGTATTGCATCTACCAGCTAACCTGTAAAGCTACCCACAGGAAAAGATTTTTAGAGAAAATAGACATTTATACAAAATTATAAAATACTTATAAGAGTTATTGCATTTCAAGGGATGAAACATCCATTTTCTGTGACAGGACCAGTTAGGCCTTTTAAACAATGTCTAAGGTTTGTAAAAATGGATCTTGAAGTATGCAAAAAACCAAAACAGTATAAACTTTCTACAAAAGATTCCATCCCATTCCTGAGTACACTAAAGCTATGAAACATAAGGAGCATTGGGAAGGCAGCAGTTTCTCATAGTGTGAGGTCTATGGGCATTTCCTTTCTACACACTGCTTCCCTCCTTCTTCATACTCTTGTTTAGAGATCCACATTTGTTGAAAGGTACCCTGCAAAACAGGAAAAAAACAACAACTCAGTGCTGTACCCAGGGTATCATTAGCTCTGACAGCATGAAAAGCAAACCAGCCTTTATATTTTTTAGGCTGCAGCACAGGACCATGGCTCCAGCTATCTAAATGTATCTTTAAACTGGGGTTTGCATGTTAAGCAATTAGGGAAGATTGTCACATCAACTGTTGCTTCCATCCCCTTTCTGGATATTACTAAACTACTCCCTGCTATCCTTGTCTCATGTGTGCTCAGCAACTTGCTTTTCAGATGTCTTTTGGGGCCTGATCCTGCAAGTTTAGTACTTTTAGAATGCTCTAGATGGCATGTAGTTTTCTAAAGATCCAGCAAGAGAATACCTCAGGAGCCCCACCTCCTTCCCCTTTGGAGGCAAGGAAAGGAGCTTAATTAAGATTCTTTAGGTTTATGCATAGAGTATTCATTATTTTATCATCACGTTTCTCCCCTCCCACACCATGCTCAGCAGAGCTACTACAGGAGCAGCAGCTGCTATGAAACTCAATCACTAAAAAGACTCCTATGGAATTAGGTTTTCAGCTAATGATGCTGCTCAGCATCCCTTCCCAAAGCTATGTATGTTTACTGACCAGAGAAGCCAAAATTGAACCACCAATCCATGAACTGAACCTCCGCTCCACTGTTGTGTTGTTTGCTATCAACTTCAGCCGCATACTCTGAACAGAGAAAAAAAAATACACATTAGCAAGGTCAAACTGATAGGTAGCTCAACTGAAGGTTCAAAACTTTTTCCCCTGAAGGGGATGGGGAGGAAGAGGTCTTAGGACTGCGTTACAGACAAATATTCAAAGTGTTTAATTCATCTGTTGACACACAAGTCAAAGATACTAATTCTATTATATTTTCTGTAATGTGGAGCTTGTCTGATTTGCACTTTGGAGTCCAGTGCTCCAAAAATTACAGGTTAAATGAAGAAGCAGGTTGCTGTTTATTGGTAGCCTGTCTGACTTGTGTGTGCAATCCACGGAGAACAAATCTTCTATATTAACATGAGCTTAAACTGAATCAGTGAAATAGCCTTGGAAATGGGTTACCAGCAACACAACAGAAGAGAGAGATGATTAGGGGAAATTATCATTATGGCTCCAGAATAGTTACACAGCCCAGAATAGCCAGAATCGTTATCTGAAAGTAGGGATAGACATGCAGTATTTTAAAACTAGCTAAGTATTTGCTGGTCTGTTTTATGCTGTTACTTATTTCCAAATTGCATTGAGTTTCTTTGAAACAGGATAAGTTTTTTCAACAGTCTGCAACTTGTGGCCCCGCTTTAGTCATTAAAGCTAAAAAGGGGCTGGGTCAAGCAGTCTGAGCACAAGACTGGATTGCCTGCAAGCCCCAATGTTCCAATCCTGACGATGACATCGATTACCTTTGTAGCCTTCATAATTGTGACATCTTTCCTTCAGTTGTCCCAATACATACTAATTGGATAATACTTCCTACTTTACGAGATTAGTTACATTTGCAAAAAAACCTGAGGATTAGAAACACAATGGAGGTGCTAACACTGCAGTGAATCTCTCGCTTCTGCCTTTTACAAAAAAAAAAGCATTCCGTGGCCACTGAATAATCCTAATGAAATCAAAGCTGCAATACAGCAGTCAGTGCCTGTATAGGCATGTGTGATAACCTTTTCTTCTCCAGTGTGGGCTAACCCCACAAGGGTGGCAGAAGTCCTGCCTCTCAGACCGTGCTGGACATGCTCTAACTGCTGCCGTAGTATAAAAGGAAGCAGCCTAGCTCGTTCTAGACTGACTACTGAGGGGAGAAGATGCTTGATAGAGGCTCCAGGCTAGGAGCTGCTACAGCTAGAGACTGCAGGAACTGGAGAACCCAGGGACCAGACTGGTGAACTGCTATCTCCAGCAGACCCCCGGGAGTTGGACTTCCAGGAAGTTACCCCCGCCAGGGAACCTGAAGACCCAGGCGCTGTACAGGTTGCTGCCCATGGGAGATTCCCTGCTGACTGGGTGAGGGCCACTCCTGTCACCAATAGGTCCCTGGGCTGGGACCCAGTGGAGAGGAAGGGCTTGGGTCCCCTTACCCAGCTGCCACCCACCATTAGGTGGCAGCCCACTTCCCTGACTCTGGCCACTAGGCCGCACAGCCCTGACTCCAAGGGCAGCCGCATAGACTCTGGCCGCTAGGCCACGCAGTCCATGCAGTCCAGGGCTGCCATGACGACTCTGGCGTCTGGGCTGTGCTGCTCTCAGCTTAAGGACTGTCTGATAGACTTAACTGCAGTGGTATCACTACCCCGACCTACCCTAAGGAGGACAGGGCTTGCACACCATGCAACAGCATGTACAAGGAAAAACACAGACCAAAAAATGACCCAAAGCAGCAATTTAATAAGCTGTCTTACTGGTGGAGTTTTCTGAGAGAGCTCTCTGTTCAGTCTGTCTGTAAAACTCTGTATTAAAGTGTTTCCTCCTGCTACGATCACACTGCCATAGAGGCCCTGGGAAGAAAAAAATGTGACACACAAGAGTTCATTCTGAACGTATTTTGGAAATGTTTGTTTTCATAATGCAGAGAAAAGAAAAATGCCAGGAGTACATATGATCAGCAGTAAAAGTACACTTGACATCTAGACAAAGTTACACCATTATTAGTACAATCATTTCTACCACGTGAAAAATCATTCTTTTAAAAGATACATTGGGGGACAGGCAGTTTGATGACTGATTCTAAATGGCTTTTATTTACTGTTTTAACCTTTAGTACTTCTAGCTTGTTTTCATACTCCCCCTGTTCCTCCGCCCCCACACACACACTGAGATACAAGAACGCACAACTAGATGTACCATCCACAAAGAACACAAGAAAGGAAGGATTTTTTCCCCCATTAGAAAAAAAAATTGTGTGTGTCAATATTATATTTACATTGACTAATATGACAGTTGCCAAAGACGGAACACAGTCTACCCAGCCAGGTTGACTTTGCAATTAAGGAAGTGCAATGGATGGACCAACCCAAGTGCAGCCAACATGAGAACTGCACACAGCTGAATGTTGCATGCTCTTTAAGAGATGGTGTTGGTGGAAGCAAAAAAGGAGAATTTTAATTTTATGCTTTCTTTTTCCACCTGCACCATACAGTGAGTTAATATCAAACTATTTAATCTTCAGATATTTGAGGCTGAACAGTCACAAAAAGCTATGCACCTAAAATGACAGTTTGAAGCTACCCACTGCACATTGTAGAGTCATCAAACTCTGGATATTTAACATGCTATTTTATTTATCTGTTTCATTACACCAGTGTGAAACAAGAGTAACGCAGGATTTCAATGGAGTCTCTGCATTTCCATCAGTGCAACAGCGGTCAGAATCTGACTTAGTGTTTCTCAAACCATGGGAACAGTTATCTTCAGATGTGTTTTATCTGCATATTCCCCTAATAGCTACACAACATGTAGATGATAATGTATAGGCACCTCAAGAGGTCAAGATCTCCATTTTAACTGATGGCAAGTGTCCATGCCTCTTCAGTAAATTTCATAGCTAAAATATATTGTAACCATGCAGAAAAATATCTATGCTTTAGATAATTCATGTCTGACTAGCACTTACTGGTCTGATGTCTATATCACACATTCCAACGCTTGTGGTAACAACATGGCTAACACCCAGCATTGTGTTGCCAGATAAGCCCTGGAACAAAATTAGTAAATCACAAATCAGTGCTTCAAAACAGCAAGGCACATTAAAGCAGTAAATGAACAAGGGTCTAAAAGCTCTGCAGACAAAAATCTTTTAATTTATCTAAATTTTTATTTCACACTCATCACCATGATCTCAGCACCACATGAGTTTTATTTAAAGAAAGAACCACATATCTTGAATTAAGCAACAGAGAGTCCTGTGGCACCTTTAAGACTAAAGATATCTTTAAGACTAACAGATGTATTGGGAGGGAGCACTTGATATCTTGAATTCCATTTCTACTACTCCACCCCCAACATAGGTAGCCCCGGAAAGCATACAGTGTAAATACAGAGCTTCATAGTTTCAATCTTTGTGCCATCATAACATACTGTACCCACATATAAAGGGAAAGGCTGCATAGAAGGGCTTCATAATAAACTATATTTCTGCAAATTTTAATGTACTCCTTTCATTATTTTACCTTTACATTAGAAGGGTCAAATAGTCCTTCGGGAATTTTTAGACGTTCTGCACCAAAGTCACAATTATAACCATTGGGGAATTCATAATGAACGGTCGGCATCTGTGCAGCTACCCTGGAGATTGATATTGATCAGAACATTGGTCAGAAAGTAAAGATGCTAAATCATAATGCAGTGAATAATCTAAACAGCATCATAAACAAAGAATTGTAAAGAACAAATTTTAATATGACCTGTGCTTTTGGCAATCTTTCTGATTGTCATTAGAATTTATGCACATTGGCATGGCAAGTGTAATCTCTAATCCAGCTATTCCTAACACCAAAAGTAAATGATTTTGTATATCATCATACTTTTGCAATACGCTTAACAATAGAAACCATGGACTCCTACTCTGATAAATACATTTGACATACACATATTGCTAGTTTTACAAAGATACAATGACATACTGTTCATCATAGGTTGAATCTGACACTTGGAGGACAGAGGCTTGGAAATCCTGAATTACACACTATGGAGAGAAGAATAAAAGAAAAAGGTGTGTTATAAGGATTCCAGTTCAGAATTCAGTATTATGTTATAATTACATAAATGTGAAACTGGACAAAAGCCTTAAACCATAAGCAAGTAAATTTGGAATCACAAAACTGAGTGCACAAAATATGTGCAAAGCTTCTTTAAAAAGCTATGAATGCATTTCAGTACATAAGTAATTTGCTGTGCTAAATCCCTAGAAACAACTATAAGAGGTATTGTTTCAAGCACAATAGGTTTTAAAGAAGTCAGACGCTAGGGCACATCCCATAATGACAGCGGAGTATTTCCCCTCAGGAATTTTTAATCAAGGCTGGACTTGATCACAGTTATCATGGATTTTCATATTTAATAATATATCCATTTGGCGGTGTCTGTCTGGGAATATGATCGGATGATAAAAGCCTAATTGAGAGCTGAAGATTTAACTAATGGAGAACCAAGAGCTCAGCAATATCACTGCAACACCACAAAAGACCAGACCTGCAGACTCTCAAGACAGAGCTTCAGTTTCCCACAAAGGAATTGTGGGAGGAGAAATCTGATTTAGGATTACAAAGGTGCACCCCAGTATGGTAACTCCTTTATTAGGAACTTATCCCATCACATGCAATGATCTTCTGTATTGCATTACAAAATGGAACGTTAAAGGCGATGACAAGTATGAGAGTGCCCAAGACTTGACACACACACACACACACACACACACACACACACACTTTCCATGCTTTTACCCTTGTAACTATTTTATTGTGACACACACAAATTAAAAAAAAAATTCAGATTTAACTATAAACATCAGCACGAACTAAAACCACTCCTACAAGCCTATCCAGGAAGTAAAGCCATAATGCCCTAGAATTTTCAGTGCTTGCAAGTTTCAAACAGGAGACAAAAATAAGATTATCTAAATGGAATTATATTCTAAAGATGAAAGAGCAGCTAAACCGATTTTAAAAATTTCTCCTATCTCCACTCCAAAAAGAAGAAAAATGTCCTTTCCTATTTTTTTAGACAGAAAGTTTTCTATTTTTCCTCACACAAAAAGCTTCCTGTAATATACACTAGCATATGGGATTTCTTTGTGGGCCAAGGGAGAAGAAAGGATTTACTTACATTACACATATAGTTGTGCCAAGATCTCGTGACCTGAGGTAACTTCTCTTTTCTCTTCCAATTTGCTGGTGATCCTTCGCGAACTGCTTCCTGCAATTGTAGAAGAGTACAGTCAGTCAACAATCTACACTCTGAAAAATGAACACTTTTTAAATCCAGTTAACTTTCCCACCTTTGATGCAATCATATATGGAGGGATTAGCTCTATGTTCATTTCCTGAAACAGTTCTCTGCACTGCATAGTAATAAAGTCTCCAGCAAGGGGTGATTTTACAATGCCTACAAAATATAAATAGAATTTTGGACTACGTTCAAATCCTTACAGAACAAGATGTCTGCAATAAATTGTTCATTTGAAACAAAAAAAGCCCATCTCCCACCCTCCACAAAAAACACAAGCTTCTCCCTATTCAAAGATACCACATTTTCTTTTAATATTAGTAATAAAACTCATTTCTTAATGTAATGAACACAGTATATAAATTATACATCTGAAACTTTTTACCTTGTTGAAGTACATATCCATCATGCACTGGAATAGCAGTGGTGTGAGTTGCTCCACTATCCAAAATTAGGCCTGTGGATCGACCATTAGCAAAGCTAATCAGAAGGATTAGGGAGAATGACAGAATTTACACTTGGGAGAGAATTTTGTCAAATAGTTAGAGCACAACTAGCAACGAGGACCCTAAGAGTTCTATTCCTAGCCTCACAAGTGACTTGCAATGTTCATCCCTTTACCCTTCTACATAAGGGTAATAAGTACCAACCTTGCATACACGTTAGGCTTTAATTTATTTATGTTTGCAAACTGATTTTTGAGCTCCTTGGATGAGAAATGATATAAAATTCAAAGAAATGTTCTGCAGCAATCTCTAAATAAAATATTTCCCATTTATTTAGATTCTAAACTGCCTATTAAAACGTACATGTTAGTTTAAGATATTTACATAATGCAGTGTAAGGCTTAATCAGTGATCTCAGAAGATTTCTGTTGCAGAAGACCGAAATTACTGCATTTTAGTAATCTGAGCAAAGCCATTTTAGGCATGCTGAGCTCTAACAAACAGCATAGGGTGTAAATATAAACTAGAAAAAGTTGTCTCCCAGGATAGGAATCACACCAAGGGGTTTTCAAAGTTGAGCATTAAGGAGAAAGCACAGAAGTGGAAGCTATTCTGTTCACATCAGCCGTATGGATGGTTACAGAAATATTCATTTTGGTTAGAAAGAAAAGAGTAAGTTATCTTATTCTAATAATACCACTTTGAAGAAGCTTGCTTTATTTCTTGGAAAAATACATAGATCAACATTTCAAGGATACGCTGTAAGAACTGCAGTTTTACACAAGAAAAAAGCAGGGATATTGTAATGTTCAAACATCAGTTCTGTCAATTTCTCACGCTTTGCTCTGGTATTCCACTACAAAAGAGAAAAAAATAGGTAAACAGGCAAAACAGAAATATTATTTTTACCTCAAGATCCATTATATTTATTACTGTATGCTCACAGGATGCCAGCAGGATATAAAAAGAAAGTTAGGATTATTAAAGTTGTACTTTAAGAACAGTTGCAAAGTTACATAAAGCAAAACAAATATATATATCTTCGAACTTTATTTCCTTAGATGAGAATTCACTTTTTGTGCCACAAGCATTTCATTCCAGACTCATACACAAACACAGGAGGCCTTTCTGAAATTTTAAAGGACATTTACATGCATTTCCAGGAGGTTCAACTTTAAACTATTAAAATAATAAATTATTTCTGTTGTTACTACTTTACACTTCTAGAACCCCTTCCATATCGGAATCTCAAAGATCTTTATGAAAGAGCCCAAAACACTCCTGTGAAATAAGTGTTACTCCTGTTTTACATGAGGAAATGTACATGTACACAGATGTAAAGTGGCTTGCCCAAGGGAGAAAACTGAATTCAGATTTCCCAGCTCTCAAAGCATCTTACCATAGCTTTACTGAAGCAAAGGCAAAGACAATGTGCTAAGGCACACCTGTGGATTGCAAGTCTCATTTTATTGTGAACTTCTTCTAAGTCAATTGTTAAGTGAGTTTAGCCCTCATGTTAGGAGTCTGACTGAAGACCTTTATTTAGCTATTGAACAGGCAACCCCCAATGCAGATTGCTCCATACTCCATCACTGTACCTCAACCCTTCCAGAGGGATCATGTTTAGGAGTGGGAGGGTAGCACAGTCTCCCTATGCATTTAGTAGCTGCCCTCTTGACAGTTTCAGGTAGATCAACTGTGATGGTATGTTCTGTTACGTGGACATCTATACACAGAGAACTAGAACAAAACCAAGAACTCATTTCACAGCCTTCAAACACCACCAACTTGAATTTACTACCAGCCTTGGGTGAATTTATTTTTGTTTATGGATACTTCTACAGCATGCTTTCTCTGTAATATCCAAGTGCCTTTGAACTGCTAGCTGAAAAGTGAAAGGCATCCATTCTCAGTTCAATCCCTCATACCCTTCCCTACCTGAGCCTATCCAGACCCTTTCAAGTCACCACTTTCAACACACTAATGTGGAAAAAATTTATTTACAATAATTGTATGTAAAGGAGGCTTCATCTTCATTGTATGCATCCTCTGTGGTTTATATTCAGACTCCTGTATTGTGCCTTCTAATCTAGAGCACAGTAAGGTGGGGAACTGCAGCCTACGTGTCTACTTACATTCTTACTCCTACATTTTTATTTGATCTATCAGGCCACTGAGTAATCCAGAGAACCAAGTTAAAGCTTTGCCATTATACGTATTACTCTCCCTGGTTCTGTTTTGAAGGGCTTGATGTAATGAAAGATTTTCAAAAACATCTCTATTTTTAGTTAGTATAATAAAAGATCATCTACAATTTTACATTTCCCCCACCCTCCCCAAGAAACAAGAGAAAGCTATTACAAAACAAAGGATCTAAGAGGAAATCCAGCTTGAAATATGTGAAGACCTAGCTACGGGAATAAAGGGAAACAAGAAGACTTTTTATCAATACATTAGAAGCAAGAGGAAGACCAAAGACAGGGTAGGCCCACTGCTCAGTGAAGAGGGAGAAACAGTAACAGGAAACTTGGAAATGGCAGAGATGCTTAATGACTT